CGTATTTATTTATTTTGGTTCCTTTGAGGAAATCAACATATGCTTGGGCCATGAGTGGCCAAACATGCATTTTTAAGGGCAGTCCCAATGAAAAAAACTAGTAGTTTCTATAATATAGGATATCGCATCAAAAAAAGTACTGCTTTCCAACCCATGGTTTCTATGAGTAATAATTATTTTCTCTTTCTCTCTCCCAACTCTATGTTCTTCCTTCAATGGAAGTGCGGCACGAGTCCCCTAGAAACTAGTGTTTTCTCCCCAATAATGATTTCATGGTTTTTTGGTGCATTGGGTCAAGAGAAGACATGATTTCTTCATGAAGAAACCATTTCTAGGATTTTTCTATCTTTCTTCATTAATTACGTTGTCATATCAACGTTTTGCCTACGTGACAAGTTATTTAACGAGGATAGAAACCATCGTCGATACACCGTTGCTAATCCTCCAGCTCGCCGCCCGCTCCAGCACCTGGCCCCCGCGCCGCGCGTCGCCTGCTCTCCTTCTTCCCTATTGGTGGAGCTCTCAGCCACATGCCTTTGGTCGCGTGGGGCGGTAGCCAGCGGTCGATGGACTGCGGCGCAGATCCGGCCCTGTGACGCCCTTGGCTGCCGGCGAGTCGCCGTTGACGTGAGCACGGAAGTGAGTATGAGATACGGAGGAACGCCGGCGAGGACAGCCCTCAGCCTTAGGCGATTTCGATTTCTGAATATGTCTGAAGGTTTCTTACAGAGTTATGGCACTTTTGTGCCTGATACAGACGCTGTCTTCTTAGGCCCACTTGACAGTGTAACACGAAAACGTAAATGACTTATAATACATAAAAAATACGCTACTGAAACGGGAACACGCCTTCTCCTTCTTGCTCTGTCTTCCTCACTCTTTCAGTCTTTCTCCTCGCGTGTTACAGGTCCCGGTGCGTGCAGATCCGGCGTTCCCTTGTCTGGATCTATCAGGAGTGGTGGCGATGCCTGGGGCGGCGGGAGGCCGCACGGGGCTTGCTGTCCGACTCGGCGCCGTGCCGGCCGCTGTGTGCACGTCCCCAAGGCAGGCGCTCCGCGTGCTGGAGGCCGCAGTGGGGAGCGCCGAGGGCCACGGCGCGGTGTGCGAGTCCACGCGGTCAGCGGTGCCCGCGGTTGTGTTCTCCCGGTGCTGGCTCCAGTTGATCCAGCGGCCGAGGTCCTAGCATTGGCAGCGGCTGTTCAGTGCCACTGCGGCTCGATCTGGCTGCCCCCCTCCCGTATCCGCGGTGTGAAGCCATCGGCGCCATGTCCCAGCATGGCTGGCCGGATGACGAAGACGGTGGACACCAGTGAGCTGCTAGATCCGGTTTTCATTGAGCGGTCGCTGGCCCGGATCTACGTCGGCAAGGCTTGTGGCGGCCACGCTTGATGGTGTGGCGGCGGCGGCTCGGACGACGCGGCGAGCATATGGTGGGCAGCTGGTGTTTGGTAGTGGCGGTGGCGGCCGTGCGTGGTGGAGCACCTAGGGAGCGCAAGCAGCACATGGACAGCGTGGGCTACACGATGGCGGTGCGTCTAGGGCGTGCAGGCTGCTTGTGGACGGCTTGGTCATTGAGTGGCGGCAGCTGCATACGGACGTGGTGATTGTTTGCTCCCGGCAATCGATCCATTGGTACTCTAGGGGCAGTGGTGGCCTAAGCACTGGTGCAAGGATCAGCGAGGAGGAGGCGGATCCTGTCACCAGCGGCAGCCCTACAGCAGAGGCAACGGCCATCCAGATGACGGGGGGTGCCTATGGGCGGCGGAGGCCTAGGAATCCGACAAAGCGGCAGCGGATCCTATCGGCTCATGTCTGATCTGATAGTTCTGACTAGATACAACGGATGAATGTGTGGCTAACGGCGACACGTGGTGTCAGCTCACTTGAAGCGGATGAAAATGGCAACAGCGGGGGTTCGCAACGATGGTGCACTAGGGGATGGTGGTGACTTGACGACTTCCACTCACCCAATCTGGCCATTTTAGGAGAGGATGTTGGGAAGCAGGGATATGCCGAGGTTAAAAAAATTTCTTTTTTTTTTGTTGTGTGTTCTCTTTGTTGAGGTGTGAGTTTAAGTGCTCTTGTATTTCTTTTGGCCGTGTACATCCTTCGGGGATATGAAGGCCGGATTAACGAAATCCATTATCTAAAAAAATATAATATATGATGGCATATCTCTTGACTTGAGACTTGGGAATGGATTTACTGTGCGAAGCTGTTACGGTGCAATGCCATAGGAGTACATGTATAGGCTGGGCGTGAAATTTGGCGTGGGCGGGGGCGAGGTCCGTCAGGAGGGCGTCGTCGGACGACGAACAGCCGCGGGGGACCCCAGTAAGATTTCCACAATTGCGTCTACCAGTTGTCACTATAATTTTTAACCTTGTACGTCCACCATTCCCAACAAATGGATTGGGAAATATTGGGTTCATGGGATGGGTTAAATTTGTCTCAGAAAATGCTGGCTATTTGCTTGGAGTACTAGTATGAATTGAAGGGTTGTTGATTGTGTTCCAGTTCATTAATACAAACTGTCAGTGATGTGTTATGTGTTGTAGATCAAGAGGATGAGCAGGTGGGACATGTGCCCTGTAACTGTAAATACTGTTTGAAGTCATCTCCTCCTGTTTTAGTTGGAAGAAAGAAGAAGAATCATGTGCAGGTATCATATAGTGTAGTGTCTTTCCTTTATCTTGTTTTATTATCAGTAGGCATCTCTTGAAACTATGATGAGGAAATTTGGAATGTAGCAACCGATGTGAATAATTGCAAAGGCCGAAGACATGGTTGACAAAGTATTAACGAACATGTGTTCTGTTTGGTAGGTTGATGGCGATTGCAAAAGGGTTGCTCGTCCTGCTGCGAAGAATGACAGCAAGGAATGTGCTGATTTACTGAGGGCGTACAGCACGCTTATCTGCGATGATCATCTCATGGCGCTGCCTGAGGACATGAGGAAGGACTGGCTCCTCTTGGAGATCAGGAACCAGTGAACTGAGAGGCTTGTCCTGTTTGCGTTGCACGTCACGTACACGGCAACTGACACACAGCATGCGTGGCAATTGGCAATGTGGTCGAGTGATCTGTTTATCTAGTGCTGGTTATCGTAGTATTCGTTTGCCAGATGTAATTTCCTAGCCTCTTGTTGGGCCATGTAATGCATTGTCTGTGACATGAGGAAGGACTGGCTGCTCATGGAGTTCGGAACCAGTGAACTGAGGCTTGTCCTGTTTGCGCTGCATGTACACAGCAACTGACAGCATGCGTGACAACTGACAATGTCGTCGAGTGATCTGTTTATCTAGTGCTGGTTATGTGGTATTTGTTCCCAGATGTAGTTGTCCTAGCCTCTTGTTGGGCCATGTAATGCAATGTCTGTGACGTTTCCCTAAGCTAGTATGAATCTTCTTCAAATTGTAAATATTGCTGCTGTTTGCGTGTGACTATGTGAGCACATGAAACTAATGGATTGCATTGAGCTATTCCACACTGTTTGCCGATCCTAACACGTCATTGTTTCATCAATTTCATCAGGTCAATGCACCCATAAATTTCACTACTCTTCAAGTGGGAACTGCAGCAACCTCTTCCGGATTTGTTTGCAGGAACCCTTCTGAATTTTGTTCAATTTTTGAACCAAAACCTAACAATCTGACCTCACACATCCCTTTAGCCTAGCCAGCTCTTTAGCATACTTAGGCCCTGTTTGGATCCATTAATAGTAATAGTTAGCTAGCTGCTAGCTCATAGCTAACTATTAGCTGCTATTAGCTTGTTTTATCCGACTAGTAAAATAATTGTTAATTGGGTATTAGCTAACAAATAGCTAAACTATTAGCTGGATCCTGCTTGATTCAAAGCAGCTAATTACTATAGCTTGTTTTGCCCAACTAGTGAAATAATTATTAATTAGGTATTAGCTAACAATTAGGTAAACAGTTAGCTGGATCCTGCTAGGATTCAAAGCAGCTAATTACTATTAGCTTGTTTTGCTCAACTAGTGAAATAATTGTTAATTGGGTATTAGCTAACAGTTAGCTAAACTATTAGATGGATCCTGCTTGGATTCAAAGTAGCTAATTACTATTAACTTGTTTTGCCCAACTAGTGAAATAATTGTTAATTAGGTATTAGCTAACAATCAGCTAAACTATTAGCTGGATCCCATTTGAATTCAAAGTAGCTAATTACTATTGACTTTGCTTTGCCCAACTAGTGAAATAATTGTTAATTGGGTATTAGCTAACAACTAGCTAGTTGAACTGTTAGTTGGATCCTCCTTGGATTCAAAGCAGTTAAATACTATTAGCTTGTTTTGCCCAACTAGCAAAATAATTTTTAATTGAGTATTAGCTAACAATTAGCTAAACTATTAGCTAGATCTTGCTTGGATTGAAAGCAGCTAATTACTATTAGTTTGTTTTGCCCAACTAATGAAATAATTGTTAATTGGATATTAGCTAACAATCAGCTAAACTATTAGCTGGATCCCATTTGAATTTAAAGGAGCTAATTATTAAATCTCTTTGTCCCACTATATCTGTCGTTCTTGCAGTGTGTTTAAGTGTCTAGATTCATAGCATGTTCCATGTACCCAGACACACCGTATGTCTAGGTTTAGAGAATCTTTGTTGTACATGGTTAGAAAGCTACACATATAACAGGACAAAGGGAGTGCCTATTGAATGCTTGGATCCAAACATGACCTTAGCGGGTCTAGACCTACCTAACTGTGTCTAGTAACTAACGCCGGCCCACAAGGCCTAGCAGTATCGAACCCGCGCCCACGCCGCAGCCGAATCTTCCTCTCAGCATAAGCTGAGCGACAAAATTGAGCGACAAACCTCCATTTCTTCTCCTCACGCTCCTTGCATGTGTTTCCCTCGCACAAAACTCCAGAACGCAAAACCCTCTAGTCTGGCCAGTCCCATACCACCTACGCGGCTACTCCCACTTGAATCTCCCCCTCCTCCCCGATCGCAGGTTGATCGGCGGCAACAATGGTGCGGAGGCGGAGCGACATCGACTGGTATAGCGTGTTTCTGTCCGCCTTTTCTCACAACAGTGCGGTCGATGCTAGCTCCGACTCCCCAGGGCCAGCGTCGCAAGCCCCCGCATCTCCAGGCGGCCGCCAAAGGTTTGAGGAGCCGTGCAACGAGTTCGAGCGGCGCTTCGGCCCTGGCGCGCAGGTTGATGATGGGCCGCACTTCCGACTCCCCCGTGCGGTGGCCAAGGTACGCACACCTGCTAGCTTGCTCTTGTGCTCTTGCAACGAAAACGAGCTGTGGTGTTTGATTATCTGTGCGCTTTCTACGTAGGTTTTGTTCGCTCCCTTTGACAGCTACATCCCATCAGTTATTATTCAGAGTACCATTTCTTGCTTGGTTTGCAGGCTGCTGTTGGTTTGGGACCGGATGTGGATGTTCCTTCTGCTTCTAAGGGCGTAGATGATTTCGGTAAGATTCCTACACTCGCCGTCGTTACCAGTTTTAACCTTGCACATCCGCGGATGGTTAAAGCTGGATTGGGAGAATTTGGGCTCATGGCATGGGGTTATTGAGTTTATCGCGGGAATGCATGCTATCCCTGTGGAGTATCAATGAACAAAACAGTCGTTGAATCTATTGTAGCTGTTCACTGATACAAGCTGTCACTGATTTGTTATATTTCATTTGTGTGTAGGTCTGGTAGATGAGGATGAGCAGGGGGAACATGTGAGCCACGAACACTGTTCGAAGTCATCTCCCAAGTTTAGTGGGCAGAAGAAGAATGATGGCCAGGTAAAATACACTTTTTTCAACTCTTGCTTTGTTGATCCACATGCATCCCTATCTCGCTCCTGTGCTCTTGTATCGAGCTGTGTTCTTGTATCAAGCTGTGTTGTTTGATTATCTGTGCGTGTTCAGTTCTTGAAGTGTGTGCCTAGGTTTTGTGTGCTCCCTTTATGAGCTACATCGCGTTGGTTATTCAGAGTACCATTTCTCGTTTGGTTTGCAGGCTGATGTTGGTTTGGGACAGGATCTTCCTTCTGCTTCTAAGGGCATATACGATTTCAGTAAGTTTCCTACGCTTGTTGTTGTTATCATTTTTTAACCTTACACATCTACAAGTGGTTCATACGTGTCTAGGCACTGTCACGAAAAAAAAAGTCTACAAGTGGTTAAAGGTGGATTGGGAGAATTTGGGCTCATGTATCGCAGGAATGCATGCTATCTATGCGGAGTATCAATTAGAATAAATCAGTCGTTAAATCTGCTATAGTTGTTCACTGGTAGGATCCTGGATCCTACCGCAACTGCAAAGAGCGTAGGGGTATGACGTGGGAGGCTGAGGTCATAATTTCCGGCCCCGGGTTGGTGCCGTGGTGACGAGCGGCGGCGGCGCTAGGGTGAGCGGGCCCGCATGATCGCGAGAGGGAGAAGGGAGGCGCGGTAGATGGCCCTTGAGGCCAGGAAAGAATATTGCCTTGCTTCATCATTTCCAAAAGAGTCAAGGGGTATTTATCCCTTCACCTTACAATTACAAGCAAATCAATCACGATCCTATAATTATGGAAATAGGAAAAATATCTAAAGATAGCCTATCATGAGCGCCTAGCCCTCTGGCCGCCAGTGTGGCCTGGCCATTGGGTTGGCCCTAGTGTTGATACATGATGTCGGTCATAACATTCACTGATACAAGCAGTCACTAATTTGTTATGTTTCATTTGTGTGTATAGGTCCAGTGGATGAGGATGAGCAGGGGGAACATGTGAGCCGCAAACACTGTTCGAAGTCATCTCCCAAGTTTAGTGGGCAGAAGAAGAATTATGGCCAGGTAAAATACACTTTTTTCAACCCCCCCCCCCTCTCTCTCTCTTGCTTTGTTTATCCACGGAGGGAATTGTGAATGCAGCTACCCTTGAATAAAAGGAGAAACCAAGGCCATGGTGGAAAAAGGAAACCTTCTGTGAACAATCGGAGGGCTCATGCCACTAATCCAGAGGAGTCTGATTATGAAAGTTCACTTCCCAGTAGATTCTCTGAGAGGTAGGCGTCAAGTTTCCTTGTGTGTTTATAGACAAGTTATTTATGTTATTACCTTTCTAACTAGTAATTTTATGATTTTATCTGTGCATTTTGTACAACCATCTGGGTTAATGAAAATGTGACCTTATATGGAAATTTGTATGCTTTTTAAAGATATTATCTGCCTTACTTAATAGTTATGTTTCACAAGCATTTGCATATTGTGCACGCATGGTCATATCTATTGGCATGTATGATGTACTAAATTATTGTATTCATAACTTATTACTTCGCTCCATTTAGAAGTATCAATCATCAGCTCTAATCCTGCGTCCTTCTATGCAGGAGGAAGCAACAGCTTCATAATTCATCTTCTGTTCATTCTCGAAAGGTTGGTATTTGATACTAATTGTTAGAATGGCATTATCCTAGCCATTACTAGTTTTCATATCTCATTCATTTCGGGACCTAATAGCAGATCATATCTGCATGTAATTTTATAGGTTGTATTAATTATGCTACATTAGAGGATATTTTGTATTATTTCCTTTGCATGTACACTCACTGTTTTATAAGTACTGTCTACAACAATAGAAAATTTATTCCCCCCTATCTTCTTTCATGGTACCAGCCTAATTCATGATCCTGATGCCTCTCCTTCTCTCTTCCTGCTCCTCTCTTTCTTACCATGGGTGAGCACCCACAAGCATATCCTACTGCCACACTAGCTGCAACCATTGCTGCTGCTCTTCCCCATGAACGCCATGGCCCTTCAAGTGAACACCACCTCTCCATGATATACATGGACTCAGGTGTTTCTTAGCACCTCTCCTCCAACTCTGGTAATCTATCCACTCCTCAACACATGCCTCCTTCTGGAGTCATGGTGGGTGATGGTTCTCACCTAATACTGCCTCTGGCTCTCCTCCAATCCCATCTTCGACACATCAGGGCTACAAACAAATGTGGCCAAGAGCTCTGCGGTCCCAATACGATGCTAGGGTGATGAGCTATCAGTGATCACTATGATATTTGGGTTTGCTGCTATCGATAAGGAAGATGACAAGGCGGAATCACAACCCATCATTGACAAGATCCCCGATATGCTACCTGGGTGGAAGGTAGCTCTGCTGAACACCGTCGGGCGATCTGTCCTCATCCATGCGGTGCTCACCATCATGCTGATCTACATGCTAATAGCCATGGACGTCCCCAAATGAGTGATTCGCGCGATTGACAAATGCTGTCGGGCATTCCTCTAGAAGGGACATCGGGATGTCAGTGGCAGGCACTGACTGATTGCTTGGGAAAGGGCTTGCAAGCCGATCAAGTTGGGAGGCTTAGGCATCCAGAACTTGGAGACCATGGGATGGGCTCTTGGAATGCGTTGGTTGTAGTTGAGCAAGAAGACGGATCATACGCGGCCATTGGATAAGTTCGATGTTGTGATGCACCCTTGTGCCAAATCCATGTTTGCAATATCGATCACTTCTATGGTGGGAAATGGGCAGAACACAAAGTTCTAGATAGACCTATGGCTCCACGGCAAGTCCGTCCAAGATCTAGCGCTAGATCTGATCCCCTTCATCAAAAGGCGTGCTATGGGATGATGAAATGTTGCCAAGGCACTTCAAGATTGGACCTAGGTTCACCACATTTCTGGAGGTCTCTCGGTTGCGGTGATTGTCAACTGTCTACGGTTTTGAGATGGGTTTGGGACGATTTTAGCTACATGCGGACCAAGAAGACGTCCATGTATGGAGTATGTCAAGCTCTGGTCCATAGTCTATCGAGCTCTCTGGTCTGTATACCACAAAGTTCACCTATTGTCGATTCTTCAATGGTGCTATTGTTTTTTAGCCTCACAAACACATCTGGAACACATGGGAACCATTGAAGTGCAAGCACTTTCTCTAGATGGCGGCACACAAGTGATGCTAGATGGTAGAACACCTGGCTTGCCATGGATTGCCTCACCCTCCATGGTGCCCTTTATGCGACAAAGAGAGTGAGACTACTGACCATGTCTTGATATCTTGCGTGTTCTGATGCCAAGTGTGGTTTGTTGTGCTTCATCATCTAGGACTTGATGTCCTTGCGCCTTCACAAGATGACGATGAGTTCCAATCTTGGTGGCGATGAAGCACACGCAGGACGGCCAAGGAAGCGAGGAAGGGACTAAACACATTAGTCATCCTCATTGCTTGGATGATCTAGAAACATTGGAATCAATGCATGTTTGAGAACATCTCACCCTCAGACGCGATGGTGTTGCATGAGGTGCACAACCAAGGTCACCTATGGGTGATGGTAGGAGCCAAGGCGTTGGGCTCTCTTCTAGGACATTAGTAGAGCTATGTTGTTTTTATCTAATTAAAAGGGCGTGAATGTAAAAAAAACTAACCCAAGTCGTGGAATTAGCATGTATTTGGACCGTTTTTCTGCTTATAATGAAATGATACGCAGTCCTCCTACGTGTTTGAGAAAAAAGTATACCCTTTTCGCCTCTCTATGAAGGATCTTCAAACCAAGATATTGATGCTTTGTTGCAATAGCTCCTGCGAACCGTACCCTATCCCTCTAGCACTGCCATGTGCCTTCATTATGCCATCCATTGACAACACACTCTGGCATCATCGCCTTGGTCATGTTGGAACTTCTATTCTTCAACACCTCACCACCACAAACTCCATCTCATGCAATAGATCAGCTACTCCTACTTGTCATGCATGTAAATTAGGAAAGCATACCAAGCTTCTGTTTTAGTCTTCTTTGTTGTACACAAATAAATCTTTCCAGATTGTTCATTGTGATGTATGGGCATCTCCAATTAAAAGTATATCCGGCAACAAGTATTTTCTTGTTTGTTTAGATGATTACATTCATCACTGTGGGCTTTCTCTCTTGTACAAAAATTTGACATTTTAGTGCCTATGTCTCTACACACCACAAAATACTCGATTCTCGTATATCCAATGCAACAATGGAAAATAATTTGGCAACGCATCCACTAGAGATTTCTTCCTCACCCTTGGCACCCAGCTACTTTTCTCTTGTCACTACACATCGCAACAAAATCATAAAGCCAAGCACATCATCAGAACTACCAATAACATCATCCAAGCTTTGGTTTTCGAAGTATGTCTACCTCCTAAGTTTTGGGCTGAAGCACTTCTTACATCAACACACATCCTTAATCGCCTCCCATAAAAACCTTAAATTTCACCATCATATGGTCACCTTTGGGTTTTTGGATGTCTATGTTATCCTAACCTTTCCTCCACAATTCCTCACAAACTTGCTCCTCGGTCTACAGAGTGCATCCTTCTTGGATACCCCACAAACCACAAAGGATATTGTTGCCTCCATTTGTTTACAAATTGTGTGATTATATCATGACATATTTTTTTGATGAATCGTGTTTTCCACATGCGGATTGATCCGCACTAGACTCTTCTTCCTAAAGGTTCATGGAGGAGGATGACTGCTGCATCCTGCCCTTTGTTTTGGCTCCAATGCCCGCACAAAGGGCCCATCATGGTGGAATCGTTGTGCTACGTGTTCCAAACACATCTCTATTTTATGAGGTGCTGCTACAATCATCCGACAGCCGCAAAACTGCATCTGTGTAGTCTTCTTCAGCACATGCCTACCCTTCGCCTATCGCTTCTTCCACGCCAGGCACACCCCCTATGCCACGCGCAGTCCTTGCACACGCGCCTTCTTTGCCGCACGTGGCTCCTGCAATCGTACTGACGACAGTTGTCTCCCCTGCACCAAGGCCTACTTTGAGACCCCAAATCAAGTGCGTGGGAGTTACAATGGCCTATCGGTGCCCGCATAGCAGTGTCAAGCCTATCCAAAACTCACACCCAATGTATACCTATGCTAGTGGCGAAGCTAGAGCAAATTAGAGGGTGGTGCGCTTCTCTTATAGGTGTGAAAATTTAAGCTGCAAACATGGTGGAAGTTTGATCCTAATATTGGTTTTTCAAATTTTTATGGGTGCATACGCACCAACAAGCTACAACGTAGCTTTGCCACTGACCTATGCCAAGATGGCATTCACGTTCCCAAGGACTACCTCACCTATAGTGCCTCCATCATCGACCCACCATCTCTCCAATGCTGAAAAAATACCATGGTGCGCTCGCTGATCTGTTTTGGTGTGCTGCCATGGTCGAGGAGTTCAATGCTCTCACAACCAACCAAACATGGGACCTTGTCCCACCTCCCAACTCCAATGTCATCTCTGGCAAATGGGTGTACCAAAACACGTACAACTTCATTGGCTCCTTGGCTCGGTACAAGGCACACAGTGTTTTGCGTGGTTTCTCACAGCAACCTAGCATTGATTACGTTGAGACTTTCAACCTCGTCATCAAATCAGCGACAATCAAAACAGCTATTTACCTATGCACCAACTCGATGTAATGTAAAGAACACCTTTCTCAATGGCATCCTTCAAGAAATGGTGTATTGTCAGCCACCTTTGGCTTCATTGACCCTGCCAATCCCCATCATGTCTGCTGCCTCAATAAGTCCTTTGATGGTCTCAAACAGGCTCCCTGTGCCTAGATCAGTCAGTTACTTGAGTTCATTCTCTCCATCTGTTTCAAAGACTCCAAGTGTGACCCCTCACTGTTCATCTTCAACCAAGGGTGCGAGACAGCATACTTGCTCCTCTATGTTGATGACATCAACCTCACTGTTTCCACTACAACTCTTCTTTGTCATGTCATCAACTCTCTCCAGCAAGAGTTTGCAATGACAGACCTTGGTCCACTCCATTACTTCCTTCCTTCCCATCACTGCTCCCAAGAGAAATATGCTGCTGAAATTCAGGAACACACCAAGATGACAAACTGCAACCCTAGGTCCACCACCATTAAATCCACCTCCAAGCTTACAGCCAAAGGAGGAAGACCTGTTGCTGATCCAAGCCCCTATAGGAGCCTTGCGAGCACCCAACGGTACCTCACTCTCACTCACCCCGATAGTATCACACATGCTATGCAGCAAGCGTGGTTGCATATGCACTGCCCACAGGAGCATACTGTGGTACATGAAAGGCACTTTAACCCATCGTCTTCAGCTCTCTCACAACTCTATCAACACCCTCACAATGTACCCCGATGTTGATTGGGTGAGCTTCCTAGATACACGGCGATACACATCTGGTTATTGAGTTTTAGTTGGTGAGAACCTCATTTCTTGGTCTTCCAAATGACAACATACCGTGCCTCGCTCCAATGAGGAAACCTTGTCCTTGAAGTTTGTTGGTTCTGCCAGCTGCTCGCTGAGCTCCGTCGTCCTCTACAGAAAACTACTGTTGTCTACGGCGACAACAAAAGTGCAGATTACCTCTCCACAGATCCCACGCAACATTAGAGGACTAAACATGTGGAGATTGATTTTGTCCGTGAACGCGTCTTTCTTGGAGAAGTTCGTGTCCTTCACATTCCCATGACTCCCCAATATGTGTACATCTTCACCAAAGGGTTTTCGACTTGATCTTCAAGGAAGTTTGCTCCAGTCTCAACGTCCACTCTACCCCCGGTTGACACCGCAGAGGGATATTATAATGACATTATCCTAGCCATTACTGTCTTCCAATCTCAGTCATTACTGACTCTAATAGCAGATCATATCTGCATGAACTTTTATAGCCTATATTAATTAGGCTAGATTAGAGGTTTTGATTCTTTCCTTGCATATACACTCATTGTTGTACAAGTACAGCCTACAACAATAGAGAATTTATTCTCCCTATCTTCTTTCACTAAGCTATACCAAGAAGTGTACTTTGTGAATAATCATTAATTTCTTGTTCCGTAACTAATCATCCATGTTTTCCTGTTCCTTGAATGTTAAAGTCACACAATCCTCATTTTGGATTAACTGCTAAATGTGAAAATTATATTATGTTGCATTTCAGTGTAATCCTATTGCATGCAATATGTAATGAGCATATCATGTTTGACTTCAGTGGTCATAAGAACAGTAGAGATTGTAGTGAATTGGTTTTTACCATCAAGGACATTTCTTTGCATTACTGATGGCTTGGTTGCATTAATGATTGCTCACTAGCAAGGATGGGTAAGGTTGAGAAAAATAAACTCTCTTTGTTAACATGAGGTTACAAAGTTTTGTATTTTGCACTAAATCTTGTGTTCAGAAAGGTTGGGTGGTTATTCTCCTCTTTAATAGATACCGCTATACTTTCTATTGATAACTTACCATGGTATTATTTGTTTATAACAAGCTTGGCTGTCATATATATGCCACATTGTCAAGAGCAGTCCGTTTGTTTGGCGCTCTATACCATGCTTTCTCATAGTAGTTTGATCCTGGCACCACTTTTACATGTAATTTTGAACTTATACATTTATTTGTACGAGTGGCCTTTAAGGTTCAAGATGTGGTTCTATTGGATGATGAAGATATGGAACTTAAGGAAGAAGTAAACCGTGAGATGTCTGACAGACTGTAAGCTCCTCTCTAGTGTTGTATTCATCATGTACACTGTTAGCTTACCTTTGAGTTTATGTTTCAACTCAACCAGTTGTGTTTTCAGGAATGAACCAAAGATCTACTACCCATCAAGGTGAATATTGTGCATTTTTCTCCGAAGATCATGAATTCATGGTCGATGTTCATTTTACCTTCCATTGACTTTATTATGTGAACAGAGATGATCGAGAAGCTGTCGTGCTCACCAGATCTGATATTAAATGTCTTGATCCTGAAGTATTTCTGTCTTCACACGTGATAAACTTCTACATCAAGTAAGTGGTAACTTTATATTATTATTTTTTTCCTCAAACTGCTTCAGTGTATCGCTTATATTTCAAACAAATAAGAAGTAATCAATGAAAGGGTTACTGTGGGAGAATTTAGGTGTTAATGCTTGCTATTTTTTTAAGAAATTTAATGCTTGGTCTTCTACTGTTGTTTCGCATTCTATTGTCTTATACACCACCAAACTATTCACTGTGGGCTATTTAGCTGAAGAATTTGTAAAGTAGTATTTTGTGAACTCTGAGCTATGCTATTTCCAGGGAGGTATTAAGACGGCACTCTGTATTCTTTCTGTGATGTTGCTGTGCAGGTACATCGAAATGACCAGATTGTGTAATGAAAATTTCAGAGAGAAATTCTACATTTTTAACACGTATTTTTTTGGAAAGCTTGAAAAAGCATTGTTTCAGCCGGTATGATCTTTTTTTGTGATGAAGTCATACTTCTCTTACCAAATGTCTTGCATTATGTCTTTGTTCAAAATTGGGATAATTATACTATTCTGGGTACGTAATACATGAGCGCCTTGTAATAAGTTTATGTTATTTTTTCCCAGACCGTCAAGAGAGCTGCTCATCCCCTTGTTAAGAAGGAATGAATCATTAGTACCCAAATACAAAGAAGGAAAAACGGACACACACACACACATACACACACACCAACTCAAATAGTTAAACTTGCATATGCGACACGTCTGAGAGAAATGTATCCAAACAAAAGATATGTGTGGCATGATAGAGCCCAAACCGGAAGCTCCTGCAGAGAACTAGACTGGACCTTCTTCATGGATCCCACGAACCACAATTGTACTTAGACTCAAACACACGCTTGTTTTTAGTGTTTCGAAAGAAGCCACAACCAAAATGGCCTGCGAGTTAAAGCCTTTCAACTAGGGTTCATTCATTGATTGTGCCGCAGCGCACCACCATTATTGGAAGGAGATAGGATCAACGCTATGGAACATGCAGTTTATATTCTTCCTTGCTAGTGGCTATGAGGTAGATCCTTCTTTTCTTGGGTGGGACTAAAATTCAAAAGTTGCATACCCAGTTCTGAAAGCTCTCGTACAAGGCGAGGTCTGCGGAAGGGATTTTTTCTTCTTTTCTTGTGTGGGACCACAATTAAAAAATGGTGTACCCAGTTCTGAAAGCTCCCATACAAGACGAGGTCTGCAGAAATAAATTTCTAGACAGCCATACCCTTTCTTATTCTACAAGGAGGCTGGTTCGAACCTAGGACCTCCAAGCCACAAGTAAAGGGAATTTCTGGATAGCCTTACCCTTTCTTATTCTGCAAGGAGGCTGGTTTGAACCTAGGACCTCCAAGCCATAAGTAGAGAGACTCAGCCGCTGTGGCAAGCCGCATTCTTGAGTGTGAAACTTCAATTAACTAATTATTTTCTTTTTGAGTGAGGAATTGGCATTTTTCTTGTGCCCCTTGTAACCTGGTCCGCTTATCGGTTGGGTGCACATTTTGGGATGTGTTTGGTTCCTCGCATGAAGGCCATCCTCCTGCATGGGTAGATGCGTATAATCTTATAGAGAAGGGTGTTAATTTGGTTGCCCGCACGGGTGGATGCAGAAATACACCATCATCTCATGAGTGCAAGCCCCAAATTTAGCTTCTCTCATGCAGGCTCGGTGGATGCATTGCATTTGCAATAGGCCCACATGTCAGTATCAGGTGGAGTGGACACTGCACCCGCTCATACAAACAACCAAACATCTTTACAAGTTCATTGCATCCGTGTATACAAGGTCGCTGCATCTGCCCATGCAATTGTACACTCTTCTTTTTGGTTCATTGCATCTACTCATCATGCTTCCACTCATTCAGGATATACAATGCAGGTTTAAGAAGGCAACTAAACACACCCTTGAGTTTTATTCAACTGCATTTCAATATAGCTCATTTGCACTATTTTCCCACCAGTCCTTCACAAAATTTGATCATCTTGTTTTTCTAATAAAAATTCCTCCCGGTTTTCTTCTCTCATTTCTTTTGTGTTCATGTGTTGACATTATCTTCTGTGCTACTTGTTTATTCATCATGTTTTTTATATTACCATAACATGTTATCTTATATGACAAAATTTATTTCTTCCGTTGGATTTTGTTCTAGCGTGACTTCCCAAAGTTGAGAAGATGGTGGAAAGGTGTCAATATATTCAATAACGCATACATCATCTTGCCTATCCATGCCAAGTAAGTTCATACTGGATAAGACATTTACATTATGAAGCCAAAATACAATTATTAATATAATTTGTTCTCAAAGGCACACTTGTATAAGTTTAAGACATTATTAGCTTGTTAGCAAGCCTCATGGTTCATGTGGATCCATTTTAAATTCTATCATATTAGGAATGTGGCTCAGAGGTTCCTAATGTTCTCCTTATCCCTGTATTGATGTTAAACCTTTTTTTATTGTCACCTGAAATGTTGCCTTTTAGCATATGCTGAATGCGTTTGAAACCTACAATCATGTTTTTTCATGCTGTACCTTTTTATATAGTATATTTTATGGAGACTTTCCTATTTGCATTTGTAAACCAGGGAGCACTGGAGCTTGGTAATCGTTTGCCTTCCTCCAAAAGAGGAAATTTCAGAACCAATCGTACTTCATCTGGACTCCCTAGGGATGCATCGCAGTAATAAGATCTTGAACACAGTTGGGAGGCAAGTAACAATCTCAGCTATAGTTATCCAACTAGAGTTTAGCTATTTTTCACTCCTGTTATTCAGAAACAAGAAATTCTAAAATATGGCAGACTTGCTTGCTGCTGAGTTTTAGTGTAAGTGACCTACTGTACTCTTCACAACACTGACAACACTGACAGCATCAGCTACATGTTGCAGGTACCTTGAAAAGGAATGGCGCTTCTTATCCGTTGCAGAGCCAGCTTGGCCGTGTCTTCTAACTGATATACGCAAGGAAACTGTCCAGGTACATTCAGTTTAACAATGTTGCAAAGTAACACTATAAAGTGCTTCCATCAGTTCCCCTTGGTATATAGGTTTCCAGATGTTTGCGTTAAATATTTGTTGACATTGCGATTACTTGGTACAGTTTACTGGTAAATCAATATAACATGGTTTTAACAACTGCTAGGTTCCGCAGCAGAATAATGCTTACGACTGTGGCATCTTCATGCTTTATTATATTGAACAGTTTATAAAAGAGGCACCAGCAAGGTTCACAACCGATAAACTTGGCATGGTTAGTGCTGCCACCTACTTTCTGTACTTGTTCAGTTGTTACCATGCTGTTTCTTTGAGCTTTTAAGACTGACTGAGATGTTTGATACTGCACTTGTGTATTCCACAGTTTAGTCGCAGTTGGTTCAAACCTGAAGAAGCATCTGGTCTAAGGCAGAGAATAAGAGAGCTACTGCTAGAAGAATTCGAAAGTGCCAGTCTGCATGATGCTATATCAAAAGCAGATGCATATGTGGGCTGTGACAGCATAAAGGACGGGGAATTGGAAGCAGACAACTCAAAAATGATCGTAGAGGTGGGTGACGCTGCTAAGAGTATAAAAGGCATCAGTATTGCAGAATCAGATGAAGCAAGTGGGGAGTTTGGAGACACTGGTAAGACTAACAAATGCATCAAGGTCTTGGCATCAGAAGAAGCAAATATGGAGTCTGGATACCCTGTTAAGAGTATGGAAGACATCGCTGATGTTGCAGTAGTAAACAAAGGGCCAACTTGCAGCGGCAACAAATGCAACGAGGAAAACGCAGGCTCATGTTCAGATAGCGTCATCAAAGACAAAAAAGGTTCAGTAAAAATAGATTCTGGCAGCTCAAAAGCTGAGAAAGAAGGCAAACCGATTGTAACTGCATCGCCAGAAAGATTGAAGGGGAATGATGAGGCCATGGGTAGCACGCCAATTCCGGATGCAGTTAGTGACAGCGGTGTGTCGGAGGGGAATGAGGAGGTCACTGGTAGTAGCATGCCAATTCCGGATGCAGTTTGTGAGATCACTGGGACCAAGGTGTGGATCACAAGAGTTTACAGAAGGACAAGTGGAACAACGTTGGAACCTGGCAATTGGTGTTGGAGCAGCGGCGGATCCAGCAGGGATGCACGCAGGAAATTCATAGAACACTTCTCTCGAAAATAGTAAGAACTAAGAACTAAGAGCACCATTTGAACTAGACATCTTGGTTCCAGTTCCAGGTCAGGTACCTGTTGTTAATTTTGTTATGAACCTGTCAGCAACACTGAACATACCCAGGAGCCGGAGCCTGAGGACAATGCGGCCCAAGGCACTGTAGCGGGTCCGGCATCAGGCGCTGAAGACTCCCCACGCGCACCGCGTGGACCTCGTCGCTCCACCCGCGTGACTCGCCCCAGTACTCGTGTCGTAGGGCCCCAGTGGCAGTAGCTTATGAGTTGCATGTATCCTGCAATACTTAAGGAGAGCCGAGAGATGGAGTGGGTGGTATCAAGAAAGAACAAAACAGGATTCTAATACAACCTGCCCTCGTTCCTACCTGCCCCCCTTTCTCTGTTGGCCCACAGTTAGTCTCCCGATCACCAAGATGGCCTCCAGACCACTACAAATAGCCTCCAGACCAACGAGATGGCCTCCAGATCACTATAGATAGCCTCTAGACCACCCTTGGTCTCACAGAATCACCGGCTCACGTCAGTGAACCACTCTAGCCAATCTTGCCGTGCACCGGCTCAGGCGAGAGGAGCACTTGACGGTCTCACCGAGCACGCGCTAGTGTTGCCGAGCACCCACTAGCCGTGCAGACCACGTACCGGCGTTGTCCGTACCCACACACTACGGACGGAGTTGGGAGAAGAAGGGAGAACAGAGCAAGCACGCACAATACAAGACAACAGCGTTGGCCGATGCCCTGTCTGTGTGATGGTAAATCTGAGCTCTCTTTACTGAGTTGCCATACATGTCTATTTATACAACTCTAACTATCTAGTTCATGTGCAGCGCCCATGCTGGCACAGTAACTAGATAACCTGACAGGGCTGACTCTGCGCCGGCCACTGCCTGTTCTTACAGTGCTGCAGGTGAGCCGTGCGGCGCCTGCACCTGCAGCGGCTACTGTATTACAGCAGGGGGCAAAGTCGGCGCCGCCTTCCCTTGCTATGTTCACACAAGGTGGCAGTAGATTAGCTAACATTCTCTGTTCTTCTCTGAGTTCGTCCCCAAACTCTCCGATCCCTCTTTCTACTCTGCTAACAGAACCTTTCGATAAACCGAAAACATTAGCAGACAGTGCTTGCATTGGTGATGCTTGACCTGCTTCCCCTGCTCTCGATCGATCGGGCCCCTTGCTCCTGGAAGTGATTTTCCGGTAGGATCGAAGTCGATGGGCATGAGCTTGAGACATGTAAAGTGTACAGGTTAAGTGTTTAACCAGATACAGAGCATCCAGAATGGCATTCTTGTGTTGTTTAGATGTTTTTTTTTATGTAAAGCTCCTTATGTTACTCACTCATCACATCACTGGACACCAGAGACTCAAGTTCATAAGGTACATCATCCCAAATAGGTTGGGCACCACTAGACAATTTGTAACCCAAAGCAGCTAAAGAATGTGCTAAACGATTACATGACCGAGGAACAGCCCTCACTCTGAAAACTGCAAACTCAGTGAGCAGCCATTGTTTGAGCTCAGTGATCACTCCGCCCATGGCCGATAACCGGTATTCTTAACTCACTAACGCCTCTTTCACCATCGCTGCGTCAGTCTCAATGACGATCGTCGTGATCCCCATAGCAGCGGCCGCTTTCAGTCCTGCTTCACAGCCCAGGAGCTCCGCATGAAACGCATCTTGCAGATGATCCTCCCTACCAATTCCCACCTTCAGAACAGCTCCCTCTTCATCTCTTATCACAAAACCCCATCATCCATCACCACTAGAGTTGAAAAAAGCTCCATCAGAGTTGAGCTTGATTTCTCCCGGTGCAGGTTTCTCCCACCTGCTCGCCTGTCGTTTTTCCGACAACAGACATCTTGCTGGTGCACCATTCAGCTTGTCAGTTTGGACAGCCGTCACATAGGCCACTTCCAGAATACAGAGCATCCAGGATGGCATTCTTGTGTTGTTTAGATGTTTGGACACCTGCAAGTGGTGCATATATTCCTGGACTTCTGAAATAAGTAAGCTACTGAAAGGTTGTTGTATCGGATATATTATAGCAATGGCGTTTTTTCTTTTTGTTCCTTTGAGGAAATCAAGATATATATGCTTGGGCCATGGAGTGGCCAAACATTCATCTTTATTCCTCCAGCTTGATATGATTTGTGTGAAGCTGTTACAGTGCAGTGTCTAGGCTGGGCACGTGCAGATGGAAAGTGATATGACTGGGAGGTTTATTGTTGAATAATTTACTGTTTCCTTGTGTGAACACATGGCAGGGGAAGACAGCGCCGAAAAGGTACCTTGCTGTGGTACTGTAGCCACAGCACGGCTCACCTGCCGCACTGTAGCCACAGCAGGAGTAGGCGCCAGAGTCAGCCCTGCTGTCTTATCTAGTCACTGTAGCAGCATGACAGCTGTACTAAGACTAGATGGATAGAGTTGTATATATAGTTTGCCACTGCAACTCAGTAAATATAGAGCGAGTTCAGTCTGCCATCTCATTTGTAGAGCTCCGGCCAACGCTGGTGCTTGTGTTGTGTGTGTGCTCTGTTCTCCCTCCCGTTTTCTACCTCTAGCCATAGTGTGTGGTCAGACAACTCTTGTCGTGGTTGGCAATACTGATGAGTGGTCGACTCACCCGTGCCGGTGATTCTGTGGGCCAACAAGTGGTATTAGAGCCGTACAAGCGCCATCGTCGGACTAACCGCTGGCGATGATGGACGGTTTGGAGATGGGCGACAGCAGCGGAGCTGCTGTGACTGCCCAGCCACGACAGGAGGTCGTTGTGCGCACGGTGCGGGAGATCAGCGGCATCAGTTGGCCGACGCTGACTCACACCAACTATGGAGAGTGGGCGATGACCATAAAGGTCAAGCTCAGAGCCCGACGGCTCTGGAATGTTGTTGACAAGGGCACCGACAATGAAGAAGACGATATGTCAGCGTTGGAGGCTATCCTCGCTGCTGTACCGGCGAAGTACAAGGAGCCGTTGGGGGCGAAAAGCTCTGCTAAGGAGGCGTGGGAGGCCATTGCAGCGATGCGCATCGGTTCCGACCGCGCAAAGAAGGCGACGGCCCAACTTCTGAAGCAGGAGTACACCAACCTCAAGTTCAAGGATGGTGAGTCGGTGAATGACTTCTCCCTCCACCTGCAGACACTCATCAGCAAGCTAAAGAGCCACGACGTCACCATCAACGAAGAGGAGGCGGTCTCCAAGTACCTCCACTCCATGCCGGCAAAGTACATCTAGATCGCTCTCTCCATAGAGACGATGCTGGACTTGTCCACCCTCACCATTGAGGATGTGACAGGTCGTCTGCGGGCGGTGGCTAAGCGCCTGGAGCAGGCGACAGCAACGAAGGATAGCGTCAAGCTACTGCTGATAGAGGAGGAGTGGGCTGCTCGGAGGAACTGCGGGGTAGCCTCCTCAAGCCACGGTGGCGATGGCAAGCACCGCGGCAAGGCTTCTTCGGAGAAGAAGAAGCAGGTCGACCCCAACGCCTACCGACGCTGTGGGAAGACAGGCCATTGGGCATGGGAGTGCCCAAATCGTAAGCAGGAGACGAAGGCTGAGGCTCATCTGGCACAAGCTGATGATGATGATGATGATGATGAGGCCGCTATCCTGATGGCGACGTTCTGTGCACTGCACGATGTCGAGGCCGAGGAGAAGGGAGAGGTGATGACAGTGAAAGGGCATGGGAAGACCCTGAAGGCTGTCAACCTCAACAAACCGTGCGCCCAAGTCCATCTCGGACGTGTGGGCGGCGAGCAGGAGCAGCGATGTTACCTGGACTCTGGTGTCAGCAACCACATGACGGGCTCCAAGGTAGCCTTCTCCGAGCTCGACGACGATGTGACCAGCACGGTGAAGTTCGGTGACGGCAAGGGTGGGGATCCAAGGGCCCGGCGCCATCATCTTCAGGTGCCAGAACGGCGAGCACCGCGCGTTGATGGATGTATATTACATTCCATAGCTGCATTCAAGCATCATCAGCATTGGCCAACTAGATGAGCGCGGTAGCGAGGTACTAATCAAGGACGGAGTCCTCGGAATCAGGGACCGGGAGCAACGATTTCTTGCCATGGTAAAGGCGGCCTAGGACTGGAACAGTCTGAGCACGGGGGAAGCTGGCGGCTTCACTAGCACCTTCGTCGTCGAGCACTTCGGCATCTACGGTGGTGGAGACGCTGGGAAGAGGTGCCGAGCACTCCGAGAGGGGTGCCGAGCACTCCAGCAATAGAGCCAAGCACTCCTGGGGAGGTGCCGAGCACTCCGGGAAGGGTGTCGAGCACTCTAGGAGTGGTGCCGGGAGGTCCTGCAGTGGTGGCAACCACTCCAGGACGAGTGCCGAACACTCCCGTAGCGGAGCCGAGAGATCTTGTAGTGGTGCCGACCACTCCAAGACTAGGGCTGAGCACTCCTACAGTGATGACGAGCACTACAGAAGTGATGATGAGCAGTCCAAAAGTAGTGCCAAGCACTGCATCTGAGGTGCCGAGCACTCTAGGTGTTGTGTCGATCACTCCGGCGAAACAGGGAACTCCATCAACACTAATCGAGTTCGCCTCACCTCCAAGTGACATCACTGAGTTCGTGGATGCCTTCCACGATGGTGAGGAGGTGCGGTTCCGCAGACTGGACGACATCGTCGGAGGCACAGGGCCCTTAGGACTGGCGGGTCGGCTGCTCAATGACCCAGAGCTACTTCTCGTCAGTGTAGAGGAACCACCCATGTTCGCGCTAGCCGAGCGCGATGGAAATTGGCGACGGGCAATGCTGGAGGAGATGAAGGCGATCGAGGAAAACGAGACTTGGGAGCTCATCGATCCACCTCTAGGATGTCGTCCGACCGGCTTGAAATAGGTGTACAAGGTCAAATGGGACGAGCACGGCGCCATTGTTAAGCACAAAGCGCGCCTCGTCGCCCGAGGCTTTGTCCAGCACGAGGCCATCGACTTCGAGGAAGTCTTTGCGCTGGTAGCGCGCATGGAGTCTGTCCGATT